TTTGTATCAAAGTTTAGCTCATATTTTTCTTCTAATAATCTCAGGATGAATTAAACTCACAACGTTCACTGACATACTCAAAAAACATTGTCACTAGTCTTCTGTAAAGTTTTCACGTTTAAAACAATTTTTCATGAATCAATGACTAGTGTTATATGATTGATTTTGTTACGCCCTTGAATCTGTCTACCCACTTTAGTGCCAAGTATAACTTGTGTAATGTAGATTAAGACCTTGACACGATAAGCTGACTGGCTTAACCTTGAGGCTAGTATGCGTGAGTTCGAATTGAGGGTAGAGAGACGAAAACTATTCTATCCCTGATTGGCCGGCAAGCACGCGAGAGCGAAAGAAGACAAGGACAACAGGAACGCTAATCACTTTACTCCAACCCCGATCTGGCACTCGAATTCCCAATTCAGATTAGGGTGAAAAGTTACATGAATAAAAAGATGAATAACCTGACCACAACGTATAATAATAATAATTAGGAAAATACAATTATGTCCAAAACTGGGGGATTAGAGTAGAAAATACAGTACAAAAGGTTATGTCTAAATTACAATAGCTTTGGAACAGAAAATGCTATGACAGTGAATTATACATTAAACGAAAGCTCATGATCTGTAGAATAGACTACGGGCAAAAATAAATGTTACAGTTTTACAAGCTCTGAATTAAACGAAATAAAGTCCCCAAAAATAGCTTCCGCAGTTTGTTGAGGCTTCTTGTTTCGGGGTTCACATCACATTTGTTATTGAAAATTTATTAAGATTATCAGTTTACATTGTGACTATTAGGCTTAATGACTCGACCCTTTTTAAATTCTTATAAAAACTATTAAAAATGAAGAATATGTTTTTTTTTTCTAATTTGGCTTCCATTTGTCGGATTTCTTGTAGACTAGACTTTCTTTAACTTAATAATATAAACAAATACTTCATTTTATAAAGCTTCCCAAAACATTTAAACAATCATTTATAGTAGGAAAATGAAATGAAAGAAAATTTTAATACATGATAGACAATACATAAATCAATTCGATTGACATTTACAATCTTAAATTCATAACTATGTAATTGCTACCACAAAATGTATGTTTTTTAACGATAGGTTTACATAATATAAGTTTTTTTTAAAATTCGAATTTTCAGGAATTTTAATAGGGTTATGAAAGAATCCTTGAAAATTTGTTTAAAATTTCAACTCTGTATGTAAATAGCTACTTATTGACTCCACTAGTTTGTTATGATTATCCATTCAAAAAGAAAAGCATTCCAAATAAAACTGTAAGAACCACTTAAGTATAAGTTGAGAAAAAGTGTTTGAATTCAAACAACATTAACTCTGTTTAGTTCAATATTAAACTGTACTTGTAAAAACTTTGTACGTTTCTGATTTAAAAAAGTGCTCATGAAATTTTTGTCGGTTGATATGTTAAGCCCGTATATCTTATTCTAACTTCTATCCATCATGAGTCGCGTTTTGACTTTGTTGATTATTCAGTAATTAACCCTGACTATTTTTTATATGAGCGTATGTGTGTACACTTCTTATCCTATTCATCACATATCTGTAACTTATTATCTGATTATAAATATTGAATAACGCTTGAGAATAGTGAATTGGCTTACCCACCATCTCCAATGCTTGTCGTTTTTGTTTCGCTCGCTGATATTTGCTAATGTGTTTATAGTTTTCTGGCCTGTGTTATTTGACAATAAAACTGTAGTTGCCGCTTCTCTTTGCGTTCTGATATTATGCACCGTTAAGATTGGTATTATAACGGTTATTGAAGTGAAAGTTTAACGAAGCACGGCACTATATTCTATTGATAACGTCAAGCATTTACACTTTCGCTAATCAAAATATGTTTAAGCATAAATTGTTAATCAGTTCTACTAGCTAAGTTAATAGATTGTATATTTTTCACATACTTTCACGTTCATCCATCCACTGATTTCTGATTTAAATTTTCCTGTCTATCGATGTGTTTTTTTATCTCAGTCGTTTAGTTCTTTTCCTGCTGATTTCAGTTGGTGTTGAAACTAGATTTAAATTGAATTGAGTAATAGTCGTGGACTATTAATGAGTTACAAATAATAATAATTTATTTATGGACAATAGTTAATCGAGTTTCATGTCTACATGATCACGCTATTAGTTAGTTGAAAAGTTATTCCTACACCTTACTACTTTTTTGAATTACATCATGATGATTTTATGTAGAAAGAAATAGAATGATTCACAATTAAACTACACCGAATAAATAAAACAACTGAAATAATCGAGGACCTACGATTGATTAGTTTTCAGATAGACTGTATATGTTCTAATCAAAGATCTTGACAAATTAACTTCAAGTTTGTAAATATTATGGCGGGTTGAATAAGTCAATTAGTTTTTAATTTCATCGTATTCTGATTTGTTTAAATAAGTTCACCTAGTTTACACTTAATGGTGTTAAATTGTTTAGTGAAACATTCAATCTTGTTAAATCTATTTTATGAACATTACTTATGACATAATATAAAAATAACGAGTATCCAGGTAATTCCAAATTGTTTCTTTTTGTACAGAAAACTTCACAAAGTACATTAGAAAACTTTCAGATATGTCTTATTGATAAGAAATTTGAAAGTTTATTAGGGCTAAAATGACATTATTACTTATTTAGTAAAATTTTTAAAATACCCTCTAAATACCATAGTTTTCATAACTAAATCTTTTGTTTAAAGTCGGTGAATTTCATCTTAATTTAAGTTTACATTCCATTTTTAATTTAAATCAACAAATGATTTATGAGTAGTCAGCAATACGTTTATTATAACAAGCCTCCATACAAACAACGAAAACGGATAATTCCTGTTCATTTAAGTTGTATGTAGCAACCACATTATCATTGATAAAATAGCTTAAAATGCATCAGTGGTTGTCACTTTAAATGACGAATAGACTAATGTTTGAAACATGAGCTGCAGGGTTTTTATTCGGTGATCGGAAGTCATCATAATTTTCACGAAATTTTAGTTTTTGGGTCATCATACGCTTTTGAATACACAATTCTGTAACTTTTTGAACTAAAACTAAACAACTTATCAGTCTTAGTTAGTTTTAAGCGTTTCTCTGAATAATGTCACTTGTTGGTAATAGTGTGGTGTGGTCTACTTATATCCATATAAGTAGTATATGGTGTGTGTCAGACATTGAATGTATTTTGGCAGAAGACCGATGAGGAAAGAACTGAAATGAAGCGCAATCGTTTGGAAAATGCATGAGCAATAGAATAAGAGAAGAAACAGTGAAGATTGAAACAATTGGTTGTTAATTTGCAAATTGACTGTTCATTGTTTGGTTATCAGAATTTACTGAGATAGTCTGTAGTCTTTGCTTAAATACATTCCATTGTCCCCAACCAGTGTTCTGTTCACTACAATAGTACCATGATCATAGAGATTTTATTCAATTAAGAACTAAGTGGTGACTACTTAGTCTAACCGAAAACTGTTCATCAAAAAAAATTAATAAATGTTCAAAACACTAAAGCACATTTATGTGGTTCGCACCGAAAATTGCAAATCATCACACCTTATTTCCCATACTGATTTGAAAATTGTTTTTCTATATTAATAAATTTCTTTTTATGTAAAGACGGCAGACCTACAACTTCATTTACTGTTTCATTCTTTAACAAATTTAGTATACTAATAGCATTTTACAGGTATTCCTTCAGTATATTTCACAAGTTCTAATTTTTAGTTACAATCAAATTATATTTAAATGTTACGTACGTGTAGATTATGTCAAAGATTCAATTCACTTGATCTTCTTAATTGTGATATCATGTTTTAACGTTACAATAACAAAAGACATTGTGAAATAAATACTGATATATCGACTGGGTCATCACGGTAGACATGGATAACTTATAGAATTGAATACTATATTTGTATGTCCATGTCCCCATTTTTTGTCATAGTCCTTTCCTCTTTATGAAACCTTAAACATCTGTTATGCAAACATTTTCATTTGTAACGTCAAACTTATCTCGGTACTGTACTATGACATTTTAGACGGTTCTGTCAACTAAGGAAATTCATTTGTAGAAGAAAGCCACTCGTTCACGAATTATAAATTAAAATACGAAGTTATATCTTAGTGGATGATTTATGAGAACCAAAGTACATTATACTTGAGTGGTGTATTAGTGAATTTTTCGGAGACAACTGGTGAAGTTTTTAAGTTGGAAATCTCGACGTTAATAACAAGAGATATAACAACTGAATAGTTTAAATGTATAGGGTTGATATTTTAATACTAGTTACCAGAATCAACCCATAAATTATTGTTAATTTAATCGGTAATATGTTCCAGACTTTATTAAAGGTTGTTTTAAGATGACAATTTTCCATTTACTTGTATATTCAATTGGATTAGGACTCAATGTATTGTGTTAATGGAAAAATTCTCAGTAAAAGTGATGACACTGTCAGTCAATCTTGCCGTTATCCTACTTAGAGATCTCTAGCAACAAAATTATTGATTTTCCTATATATTATATTCGTTTATGGACTCAGATTCATCATGAGAGAAAGTTCTTTAAAACTGAAAATTACCTATTATAATAAATTGATATGGTATACCATACAAAAGTATGCAACAATACCTATAATGGCTTTCAATAAAATAATATTTATAAAAATAATACAGTTAAAATAATGAAATAAATTGTGATGAACAAGAACATGGATGGGGACAATTCAATGTATTTGGGCACAAAATTATAGACTATTCCACTACAATCTGACAGCCATACAGTAAACAGTTAATTTGCAAACTATTAATCAATTGTCTTAATCTTGACTGTTTTTTTTCTGCAAATATCAGTCCATCGTTATTGATTATTATTGTACATGCATTTTCATACCGATTGCGTTTCATTTCCGTTCTTTCATTATCGATCTTCTACTGAAATACATTCAATGCCCGATCATCATTATATACTACTTGTGTGGATATAAGTAACACACACCACAAAATAACTAATAAATAGTACCTCTTAACGGTAATTAAGTACATTCCATAACTCTCGTAAACTAGACTCATTCATTTGTTTAACACTGTGGACGTCATCATACTATTCAGTTTAAAAATTCGTTTAAAATTTAGAAAACTTAATCAATGATCAATCAAATAACAAGTTTTTGACGTAAGAAAATCATTTACTTATAGTAAAATGTTACTTTATAGTATAAACTGAAATTTAGTTTTCATCTTACTGTATAAAACAGCTATCCATATGTGAAATATAATAATAATAATTAATAATTATTATTATATTAAAGAGTTTAGATAAAGGTTACTATGGTAAATAATGATCTCATTTGTACTAACTAATGATTACTATAATTATTCAGATGAATTCTATTATAATTTATTGTTAATAGACAACTAAATTTATGAATACTTTTCATATGTTTCGCCTCTCTTTTTATTCAAGCGTTACAATCAACCAAAATTCTGGAGAGAGGAGATTTAAAGAATGACAAAAATTTTCTCGAAGCTTGAGATTTAGATTAATTTTCAGTCTAGAATATCAATAGAGACCCTAGTTATGGTGCTATACGAAAAAGGTCAATCAATAAAACAAACTGCTCAATAAGAATACATAAATGAATAAAGTTGATGAAACCTTGGCAAATAGCTATTCATTGATAAGGTCACCAGAACAAACTTATTTAACACTTTAGATTAAATAAACAGATCAATTCCAAGTATAGTATAAGGTTGTGATTTTGTTCAGGACGGCATTAAAAGCTTCGTAGATTAGTCATTCACATTAGAAAACATAATACAACCGGAACGAATGTGTCAATCAAACTGTTAACTATAAAATCTTCACGAGATAAATTAAAATCATTTTCAGTAATCGATCCACTCACAATAATTATCGTCAACAATCATTTGTGATATAATCAATACATAAACAAAAGACATTTTTATGAACATTTTGTGATTATAAATAGGTATGTACATATATGTAAACAAAAAAATAAACATGAAAAACTTAAGCGATCACAAAAATTATCATTTTATCGATCTGTTTATTTTGATATTATTTACAAAAATTTTTTTTTTTCATTTTTTTGAACAACCAACTGAGGAAGTACATTTCTTTTTTGGTGATGATGAACATTTGTAAGAATTATCTGAACAACTTGGAGATGACCATGAAATTTTTACATTCATTGGTAAACTAATTACAGATTTCTTTTTCATTTTATTATGTTTAGATAAATTAAATGGTAAAGGTGCAGGTTTTTTATATGTTATAATTTTATGTTGATTAGTAACCATATCAACAGGTATACGATATTGATAATATTCACCACCATCTTTATAATGATGATGAGGTAAACGATATTCAGCTGGTAGACTACCACTTGATGGCATATTTAATTCAATATTATTTTTTTGTTCAATTTGATGAGATTTAGTTAATTTTTGTAAATGTGGATGACTACTACATTTTTGATAACAATGATGATGATGATGATGGTGATGACTATGAAGATGTCGATGACGATGATGATGAAAATTATAAAAATTATGTCTTTTCAATTTTGGCCAACATTTATGACGTGTTATTTTTTTTAATGCTAACAAAAATCGATCACAAAACCAACAATAAAAGAAAAATGATAAATCACTTTTTAAAGCTAAAGCAATTACAGAAATAGGATTAATATAATCAACAAAACCAAATGGTTTATTTGGTGTTATTGTTTCTATATGATTTTGATCTGTAAATGTATTACATAATAATAAAGTATTATTAATAATTTTATTTGTATCTGATAAATAGAATCCTGTACTACTAAAACGCATAATTACAGTTGTTAATACAAATGGTCCTTGACAAATGAAAAATGTTACAATTAAACAAATTAATGTAATTGTAATCTTTTTCTCTTCTCTTTGAGTACGTCCTAATTGAGCACCTGTTGGTTCACTTGCTGTTAAACTTGTTGGACTTGTTACAGGTGATGAATCATTCATTTGAATTAATTCATTTTTCTTGAATATTCTTTTTGATTCATTCAATTGTTGTTGCTGTTGTTGTTGTTGTTGATTATGTTGCAGTTGACAATTATTTACCGGTTTTGTTGATAAATTAAAACAATCACAACAAACTATTTTAAGTAATGAATCAGAACATTGATGAAATGAATAAATCTTGTTTGAATTAGATGAAATACAACATGATAAACATGGATAACATGATGTCATTCTACGTATTATTCCAGGATCACTTTGATTAGAACTCGATGATAGAATGGATTCTTTATTTATTTTCTTACATCGTTGATTAATTAATTGTAATGAATTACGTACAGTTTGTATCAGACGTATATTTACAAAAGTTAATATACTAAATGGTATTATTAAAAATAATAAAATTTGTACTATCCATATATAAATTTTTCTAAATATTATAATAGTATATGATGAATTAATCTCTTTTGCATAACCCAATATAATAAATCCAGGTAATTTAATTAATATACTTGATAGAATAACAAGTATAATAAAAATACGTCGATATTTACAATCAATAAAACGTACTTTTAATGGATGACATACAGCAAGATAACGTTCTGTAGCTATAAGTACAGTTAACCAATTGGATATTAATAATAATGTATCCACCAATTCACCTAATATTGTTTCAATTAAAAAATAAACTCTTGTAAATAATCCTTCAGGTAAAGCTGGTATAATAAAAAAATCCATTGATAATATACATAATGATATTAATGTAAATAAATCAACAATAGCTAATACAATAATATATGTAACTGTAGTTCGCCATAGACCACGTTGTGTAACTGCAATCAGTGTGACTAATATACATAATATACTAACAATAAATATTGGAATTGGTAAATAATGTTTAAGTATTACATATACTTGTAAATCTGTAACATCAACTTGTGTAACTACTAAAAAAGATGATGGTGATAATAATGGTGGAGATGATGATGATAATGAGGATAAAATTTGTGATTGATTCCAAATAGATGAATTCCATGTTTCATTAGAAATTATAGAATTCATAATTAAATCCTTTATATTTAGATTCATTACTTTACATATTCTGATTACTTATAATGTACATGTTGTTTGTTTACTTTGAATAGTATATGAATACATTTAAACAGTTGGATTATTTGCTTTGATGTGATTGGTTAATCGATGCTTTATGTTTTAATATGAGGGATTCATATTAGTTCAAGTAACCAATCCAAAGAGAGTTTGTAGGAAAGAAATTAATTAACATATCAGTTATTAAATATTTCCTATTATAACTATATATCAACATTATCAGTGTTATTATAACGGTTTTATATATTGTTTGAAGCTTTATTTACTATTAATGGCACAGATGTTTATTTCAATAAACGTGTCTGATATTTTTCCACTTTTTTTTAATCAAACAAACAGAGTTTCATTTCCTCTGAAACAAACAATATTTATTCATTTAGTAATCTTTGAATCTTTCCATTGATGTTTAGCACTGCAACTGGTCAATCTCTTATTAGAATATGTGCATACCGTACGTATTGCCTCGATATTGCCTTAATTCACAAGCATTATAAGCAAAGATGGATAGTGGCTAGCAGTGGAATACGGGACGCGCGTTTTGTCTTATTTCGAACTCGTCAGCTGGATGTATCTGCATCTCAGAATTGATGTTCACCCTGGGACTCGAACCCAGTAACTTTCGCTTCAAAAGCCATCTCGTTATCCATTCGGCCACTGAATCCTGATAGCCACTTGCTTGTTCAATGGGGTGAATTTTAAATTCATTTAGCATTGTTTGTTTGAATCTTCTCATTGATGTTTAGGACTACAACTGGTCAGTCTCTCCGAGTGAACATCAATTCTGAGATGCAGATACATCCAGCTGACGAGTTCGAAATAAGTCGAAACGCGCGTCCCGTATTCCACTGCTAGCCACTATCCATCTTTGCAAACAATATACTGCTCCAGTTATTTATACTTACTATTATATTATCTTTCTCACTAAACTGAAATAACTGTTTAGGTTTTCCAATGTTTGGAAAAATTTTGTTCATTTGTTTGTTTAAAATTTACTAAAACCGGGGATCTTTATCCCACTCTTGAAAAAAATGTTAAATAACAAATTACAGCCAACATCTGAGAGTTAGTATAAAATAGTGTTGAAATCATCTTTAGGTGGAAAGGTGCCGAATTTACTGAGAATGATAATGATACATTTTTCAAACAAAAAATAATCACTGAAATATGTGTTTATTTTGGAGAAATCAGTACAAATTAGTACGAATTTATACACATCGCTCGGTACTACAGACTATAATGTCTGGGTGTTCGTTTTTAAAGACATCTTTCTACAGGACGACTGTATATAAGTAGATATATTTCATTTACTGAAACAAACAGACCTATTCGACTTTCTATGATAATTATTTTTATTCATTTTCGAAACGGTTGTTTGAATCTTCTCAGTGACATTTAGGACTGTAATTGATCAATCTTTTATTGGTATATGTGAGTCTTGTGTGGATTACCTCGATATTGCTTTAAGTTATCGTCCATCTCTGCTTATAATGATTATTATTGTTCACCTTTAAAAAGTGTTTGTTCAAAGTTTATGAGATGTTTAAGATGATTAGCAAATTTCAGCCCACATTAAATTCGTGCAAATTATTGTTATGTTCACTATTTGTTTTGTATTAAACAAGAAATTCTCGAGTATTTGAAACCATTATCTGCTCTCTAGTAAAATAATTTGTGGATAAGTTCTATATTATTCGAAAACATTTATGCCGGTTCCAAAACTAATAAAAACAAAATCATATCAACCCAGTTTCAGTTTAAGATATTTCAAAAGTGCACACCTACATCTCTACAATGAATCAGTTACTTAGACAACACTCAGCAGCTTGTACTTTTAACTTTGTTTCACTTTTTGATGTTCATTCAATATTACCTAAGACTTGCTAACTCACTCCTGGCTTGATAAAGCTCAATAATCACGGGGGCATAAGGATGTGATTCTGTAGACTATCGATAAGTAGGGAGAAACTTGTATGGTTAAAAACAGATATCCGATCTGTCCAATACAGGATGAACTTCAAAGAAGTGATGGAACCAAACAGTTCATGATATCATTTCTTATGGTATAATTTAGAAATAAATGTAATTTCATTAAATTGGGCTCCAGTCTACTTCAAGATGTTTCATTTCCTAAATACGGATAATAATAATAATAGTGTGTTATTAGTGATGTATGCTGGAGCTTTCGGTAAACAAAGAAATATTCAAAGTAAGAATGCATATTATTTTCGAATAAGACTCGTTTATTTTGTTAGATCTAAACATACTGTTACTATTTTTCGTAATATTAGGAAAAATATATTCTGTAAAATTAATATAAAAGTAGACGATAGTTGAGCATTAGATACATGACTACAGTAAATTAGTACAATTTGTAAGTCATTATGTATATTTCACTTGGTCAAATACTCATAATACTGTCAGCCCCAAGTGGGACGAGTCGCGTGTCCTGTATTCATTTGCTATCTACCATCCATCTTCACTTACAATGCTTGATATCTAAGGCAGTATCCAGTCAATCCACCCAGAATGTACAAGTGCCAATAAGAGACTAAGCAATTGCAGTTCTAAACATCAATGGGAAGATTCAAGCAAACAATACAAAAGTGAAATGGTAAAATATTTTGATTTAGGAACAATTGATATTTAGAACGATGTTAGCATTTGATTCATGTAGTATGATAAATCAGTTTACTCTAGTTTTAAGCAAGCATACTCCATAGATTAATTTCTTTTAATTTCAGACAAAAATAGTTTTAGTTTGTGTGAAAAACAACTGAAAACCAAGAAAAGTAATTGATACTTTTTTTAAAGTAGTTTCATGTCTATAACGTATCTGATCCAATAATTAAAGTGACAAGGTGAAATGTTCATTTGATTGGTGTCTCATCAATATATTACTGAAAATATTTCAAGATGAATGAAGAAAAAGCTGATTGAGGTTTCTACTTTCGTAAGATTAGGAATTGTCAGTATTAAAAGACCGTAATACGAAGATTAATAATATAGTCTGGATATTTGGTACCGTTCATATCATTTTGATTTATTATATATTTTAATCTATATGAAATATTACCTTTGCCGTTAAATTTAAAAGCATCCTATGTACTGTTTGCATTAGCAGTTTATATTTTCCCTTGTTATTTTTCTTTACAAATTTCCTATTGGAAAGTTTGTATTAAATTCACTCAAACAAAAACCTATCAATAATTAGTTGTAGTTTACAAGGGATTAAGATTGAAAAAGCGGGATTACTTCTATATTTCTGATTTCCTTTGATATTAGTATTAATCAAACATTCCTGATACTTCAAAACGGAATTTTTATATAATTAAACAATATAAAACTTCCTAATAAAATCGTAACAGCTAATATTAAAGTAAATCCGAAAAAATAATTATTAATAGTTGTTGACTACATTATAACTTAACTCCGTCTGTAGCTCCTCCGGGTGCTACTGCCGGTCCCAAGCCCGGATAAAGGAGGAGGGTTGGGCATGGGGTTAGCTACCCCATCCCGTAGAAAACCAACTCGCTAAAATAAACGCTAACCAAGTACATTATAACTTGTATTTTCCTCCTTCGTAATTTGCTTGAGATTTAAACTAATTATACCACATGATTTGAACATTTTTGATAGAAATATCATTATTAATATTTCATGTATTATCTTCAGAAAATTTCTGTTATGTCCCGATAACAATAGTGAATGGTACCTTTGGGACCCATTTATGGACCAACGCTATGTGTATATTTTTATTGTATAATTGTTAAGTAATTAAACTATGATTATACGCGTCCCTCATATTGCAAGCTTGATTTTTACACCAAAAGACTATTATTATACGATTTACCATTCTTGAATTATCCCCAGTCTATGAATTAATGCCTCCTACATTCACAGCCACAATTAGCTAAATCTTGTACAAATGTTATTTTCTATTTTATGGTATGATGTGGTCCGTTTGATTGTTATATAAACTCAGTACGCTTGAAATAAATGATTCATACTACAGAGGCTGAGATTGGTGTTCTGGACTTAATTGGCTGTGCTAGGCAGAAAGCAGGACCGATATGTATTCTAGACAACTCGTACGGGTTTCGTATTTCATAGGTCCGATCGATAATTGACTGCTCTCTAATTAGCGGTATTATCTTACTTACTTACTTTCGCCTGTTACTCCCAATGGAGCATAGGCCGCCGACCAGCTTTCTCCAACCCACTCTGTCCTGGGCCTTCTTTTCTAGTTCTTTCCAGTTCTTGTTCATTCTTCTCATGTCTGTCTCTATTTCTCGGCGTAATGTGTTCTTTGGTCTTCCTCTTCTCCTTCGACCTTCAGGATTCCATGTGAGGGCTTGTCTTGTGACACAATTGGGTGATTTCCTCAAAGTGTGCCCAATCCACTTCCAGCGCTTCTTCCTGATTTCTTCCTCCGCTGGAATCTGGTTTGTTGTCTCCCACAGTAACTTGTTGCTGATAGTGTCTGGCCATCGGATCCGAAGTATCTTGCGTAGACAACTGTTAATAAACACTTGTATCTTCTGGATAATGGCTTTCGTAGTTCTCCACGTCTCTGCCCCATACAGAAGAACTGTCTTGACATTTGTATTGAAAATTCTAACCTTGGTGTTGGTTGACAATTGTTTTGAGCTCCAGATGTTTTTCAGCTGTAGGTATGCTGCTCTTGCTTTGCCGATCCGCGCCCTCACATCTGCATCTGATCCACCGTGTTCATCAATGATGCTGCCCAGATATGTAAAGATTTTCACATCCTCCAAAGCTTCTCCGTCAAGTGTAATTGGATTGGTGCATATTGTATTGTATCGGAGAGTCTTGCTTTTCCCTTTGTGTATATTGAGACCTACTGCTGCTGAGGCTGCTGCTACACTGGTCGTTTTCTCCTGCATTTGTTGTTGCGTTTGTGATAGAAGAGCCAGATCATCCGCGAAGTCTAAATCGTCAAGCTGCATCCTGCCTGTCTGTATCCCGTGCATTCCTCCAGATGTTGACGTCTTCATAATCCAGTCGATCACCAGGAGAAAGAGAAAGGGTGAGAGTAGGCAACCTTGC